ACGCGATTTGCGTTCAAACACTCCGCGCGAGAAAAGGTCTCATTTCGCGGGAAATCCGGAGAACAAAACCACGTGACTCTCGACCGCACCGATGACGTCATCCACGCCAACACTGGCGGAGAGAGCGAGACATTAGCGGAGAAAAGGTTTCGCTTTTGAACTCACTTTCCGTTTGAAGATTTGAAAAACATTTCGCGATATATTTGTCGACACTTTTCGGGCGAAAAAGCATTAGTTTTTGAACGCATTTCGCGACTCAAAGACAAACCATTGCAGCGATTGGTTGGCGTTGAGGCAAAAGGCGTCGAATTGGCGGTCGTTTTGCGGGAATTTGAGCTCAAATTGGAGCCCAAAGCGCGCGACACAAGAGTCGAGTTCTGAGAGACGACACGAAGACGACGTCTGACGACATTCTGAATGTAAACGCATTGTTGTCAACGAATAAAGAGTTGTTTTGTTCGCAAACTTACGACAAGTCGAGAGAAAAGCGAAGAAAGAGATGAAAAAGAGTTTCATTTTTGAGACGAAAAAAGGAGAGAAAAAGCCTTTTATTCGCGCGAAAAGAGAGCAAAAAGTCATTTGCGATAAGAAATGGGATTTTCTTGTGGTTCGCACGCGAAGTCTGGGAATCGGGTTTTCGGGCCTTCGCTGCAATTGGCCGCCAAAGAGTGACGTCATAGCCGTTGGACCGGAAGTTTGCGGCGACAGTCGTGTCGCGCGATAAAAGCGAATTGAATTGCGATCGCATTGTTGGCGCGCGTCTGCTGTTCAGTGATATTGCAATCAATTTGCGTTTTCGTTGTTATCTTTCGCGAGACCTGCGATCCGTTGGGAAAAGCGTCGCGCGCTTAATGGCGTCCCTTTGGGACCAATAGGAGAGCGTTTGGCGTCTCGAGAGACGCGTAATGATTGTTGTCATAGAAAAGCGCTTTTGTTGTCATTTAAATGCAAATCTCCTCTTCAGCCGAGAGTCACGTGACGAGCAATTAATTATCGATTCGCGCATTAATTGCTCGCAAATGACGTCATCGTCTCGTCTGTCAAGTCATGCGAAACGAAAGCCAATCATTGAAAGCACTGTTAGTCTCGAGACTTCTCTCCGTTCCTCCAAAACTCGATTTTCCGCTCAATTGCTCTCAAAATTGAAATCTTTTTCCAATAAAAGCCCAAAAGAGCGCAAACTTTGCCGAAAATGTGCGCAAAACCGGAGGTTCGGCGCTTCTCGTCGCCGCCACTGCGGCCGCCGTCTTCTGGAGGCCGCAAACCCGGTCTTCGCCGCGAATTGAGAGCCAATCGCAGAGCGACTGGTTTTGAGTTGTCTTCGCGTCTGTTGTCATGCGTTGCTATGGAGACAGTGTTTGGAGAGAAATGGCGTCGAATGCGAGTCAAGACTCGAGTCAACAATCGTCGCAACAGTCGGACGCCAAAGACGGCCAGAAGTCGCTCTTTCACTGCCAAGAAGTCGGAGACACGAAGTTCGTAATCCTCAAGAGGTATCAAAACCTCAAAGCCATCGGAAGCGGCGCCCAAGGAATCGTATGGTGAGTTGCGAGACGCGCGCTTTTGGGCCCTTTTCACACGAGAGCCTATGGCTGTGTGGTGTGGAAAGGGCCCTCGACGCGGCACTGTTTGACACTTGCACTGACACTGTTATGACGGGGGTTCGGGTGCAGCGCCGCCTACGACAGCAAACTGGGCGCCAATGTGGCCATAAAGAAGCTCTCGCGGCCCTTCCAGAACGTGACGCACGCCAAGAGGGCGTACCGGGAGTTCAAACTCATGCAATTGGTTGACCACAAGAACATCATCGGACTGTTGAACGCATTCACGCCGCAGAAGAGTCTCGAGGACTTCCAAGACGTGTGAGTATTGCGTGTGTCGTTGTGTGTGTCGTCTCTGACGTCGTGTCTGTCGTCCCGACAGTTACCTCGTGATGGAGTTGATGGACGCGAATCTGTGTCAAGTGATTCAAATGGATCTGGATCACGAGCGCATGTCTTACCTCTTGTACCAAATGCTGTGCGGAATCAAACACCTGCACGCGGCCGGCATTATCCATCGGGTGAGTTGGACGTCATCCACACACACATTCATGACGTGATGTCTCTCCGCAGGACTTGAAGCCGTCGAATATTGTGGTGAAGAGTGACTGCACTCTAAAGATACTGGACTTCGGTTTGGCGCGCACTGCGGGCACCACTTTCATGATGACGCCGTACGTCGTGACGCGCTATTACCGCGCGCCCGAAGTCATCCTCGGAATGGGATATCACGAGAACGTCGACATCTGGAGCGTGGGTTGCATTATGGGCGAAATGATCCGCGGTATGACGTCATCACGCCTTCTGTCTGTCCCTCTCTCTCACCTCTGCCCTCCTATAGGGGCGGTGCTGTTCCCGGGCACGGACCACATCGACCAGTGGAACAAGATTATCGAGCAGTTGGGAACGCCTTCCACGGACTTCATGCGGCGTCTGCAGCCGACGGTCAGGAACTACGTGGAGAACCGGCCCAGGTATGCGTGCGCGCGTGATTGGTCAGTTTTGTGACCGGTATTCCCCCAACAGGTACGCGGGCTATGCGTTCGATAAGCTCTTTCCGGACCTCTTATTTCCGGCCGATTCCTCGGAACACTCGAAACTGAAGGCGAGTCAAGCGCGCGACCTCTTGTCGCGAATGCTGGTCGTGGACCCCGAGCGCCGCATTTCGGTGGACGACGCGCTCACGCATGCGTACATCAACGTCTGGTACGACGACGCGGAGGTGAACGCGCCGGCGCCCGCGCCCTACGACCACTCGGTGGACGAGCGCGAGCACACAGTCGAGCAGTGGAAAGGTAGGCGAAGGGAAGGGAAGACAAAACGCGTTTTAATCGCTTTTCTCGCTCTTAGAACTCATTTATTCGGAAGTCTGTGAATACGAGAAACTGAAGAAAGAGAAGCAATCGATGACCTCTTCGTCGGTCACGTGATCGTCTCTATTGTTGCGTTTTTTGTCATTTTTTGTCATTTTTTGTGCAATAATTCGTTTCTTTCAATAAAACTCTTTTCATTTGACCTCAAAATGAGTGCAAAAAGTGATAAAAAACCGGAAAAAAGTTTAATTAAAGTTCGAATTAATGAATAAATTATGAGTTTTTGAGTCAAAAGTTGAGAACAATTTCTCACGAAATGACAGCAATTGTTGCGATCGTGCGATACCTTTGCGATCACATGACAGACAAAAGCAATTCAAAATAATCGCTCGTTTCCGGTCTCGAGAGCGAAGGCGCGCATGAGTGCACGCGAGCGGAGAAAAGGTGGGAATTTCCTCAGGAAACCCTTCTCGACGCTCATTGGCTGCCATTTGGCGACACTTTTGGTGACAAACAATGAGTTCTTTATTATTAGAGATCTTTCGGCAAAAATGAGAGAAATTTCTCTCAATTTTCGCCAAATCTTTGGTTTAAATGACAATAAATTAAGCGAAATATGAGTCGAAATCAAAGCGTGACTGTTGTGCGCGACGACGGCGGCGATGAAGACGTCCTTTGGATCGCGAGCGACGGCACCGACGAGTAGTAGTAGGGGTCTGCAGAGGGGGCGAGAGGGGGCGCGTTAGGGGGCTTTTCTGTTTGCATTCGTTTGATTGCTTTTGAGCTCAGCTTTCAGTGCTTTCACTGAAAACAGAACTAAAGACTCACTGATTGCGAGCGCGTTGTGTTGCGCGGCGGCGGAGGGCGTCGTGTTGGCCGCCAGTTGTCCGTATTGCGCGCCGTACGAGGCGGGAGGCGCGTAGTAGGGCGCGTGCGCGTGGTGGTAAGCGGCCGCCGCGTAGTAGTCACCGGAAGTGGCGGTCGAGCCTGTGGGGGCAGAAAGGGGGTTATTCTGGGTTAGGGCTACCCGCGAACTACCGGTGGGCGCGTAGGGGGCGGTGTTTGCGGCGTTCGTGGCGTAAAAGAAGTCCTGATTGGCGGCGAGTTTGTCCAACTCGTGATAAGTGATGGATTGCTCCGAGTTTTGTAACGCGTTTTGCACTGAAATCGAGGCAACAATGAAAGGCGACGCAAGAGACGACAGACGCGGCGACAGATAGACGTCAGACACCGAAACACCGCAAACACCGAAACCCAAACCGAAACCCAAACCGCAGCCCAAAGAGCGATAGAAAAGCGGAAAACACTCACCGATTGGAGGCGTGTAGAGAGTGGTGGTCTCGTAGTGCGCGTGCGACGAGACGGCGGACGCGGCGCCGGGCGTCTGTCCGGACGACAGCTCGGAATGTGTGTTGGAGTGGTGAGGGGGCGCGTCGGCCGATGAGGGGGCGCTCTGACCAGAATAGGCGGACAACTGCTGCGCATTGCTCTGAGTCCAGTACGAGTCGGACGACGGCGTCGACTGAGTGGTCGTCGTCTGTGTCGTCGTCTGCGACGGATGCGACGCCACGAACGACGGCTTCGCGTCTGTCGTCTTGAAGTCGTTCGACGGCGAGCGAGACGTCGAATGCGTTGACTCTGCGTTGCGTTTGAAGCGGTGTTATAGCATTGAGAGGAGAGAGAGAGAGAGAGAGAGAGAGAGCCAACTGACCGTTGGTTTGGTGACCATTGTTGGTCTCGTGTTGCACTTCGTTACTGCGTTTCGTCGCTCTCTTGTGGTCGGCGTTCGTGTCCTGCGCGAGGCCGAGGATGCCGTTGATGGAGTACATGGACTGCTGTTGCGACGACTGCACGATAACCGACGTCTGGTTGTCGCTGTGTTTGGGCGACGCGGCCGTCGGGTGCGACACTGGCTGGTGGTGCACGTGCTTCGCCTTTTCGGCCGCTTTGTTGCGGACAATGCGGTTAATGGAGGAAACGGAGGGAATGTTGTCGGAGTCGCAAATGCCGTCGGAGAGGAGGCGGTCGCGGATCTCCCACGCGAACATCGTGGGGTTCGACTTCTTGTAGTTGGCGATGGCGTCGACCACGCGCGGAGTGGCCACTTTGGGCTTCGAGCCGCCGATAACTCCGGGCTTTATGCTTCCCGTCTCGTAATACCTAAAAGTGAACCTATAGTTGGCTTTGCGTTCGTTTCGCTTAACAAAAGCTAAGCTCTGCTTTTGAACCTATAGTTCTGTGCGCTATGGCTCTCAATGCAAAGGAATGTGACGACAGAAGTGGTCGTTTTCGGGACGACGCGCGGACGACAGTCGTCGCGATAGTCACGACCACTGCCACTACTGTCGTCTCATTCCTTTGCTCTTCGACTGCCAGTCGCGGACTGAGAGTCGGCTGAAGAGAGAGCTGTTGTCGCGTGCAATGAGAGCGCACTCGAACGCATCGTTCCGTTTCACGTGTCAAGCGTTCACTCGAAACGACGAAAACAGAGCGACGACTGACACGTGATTCGGACGTCTGGTCGTCTCTCGTGTCATCTCTAAGGCTTACCGGCCGAGGATTTTGGAGACACAGCCGTGCGAGACGCGCAGTTGGCGCGAGATATCGCACGGCCGCACGCCCTGGTGCGCCAACTCGACGATGCGGGAGCGCACGACGTCTGGCAGCGGCCGGCCGTTCACGAAAACGCCGCCCAACTGATTGACGCCGCCGTGACCTGTGATTGAAGGAGAAAAGGGTTAACGGTTTGAAAGTTTGAATATTTGTCTGCATTGTTGTCGCGCGCGTACACGAGTAGTACTCCATCATCGAAGCGTTGTATCGATAGAGCGAGAGATCCATCGCTTCTCGGATTGTCGTCACGTGAAGCGGAACTCAACGCTCGCGACGACTGACGAGAGTTTCGCAGCGAAAGAGAAGCGCGTGAAGAGAGCGCTGTTTGCGTTGAGAGCGCGCGTGCGATGCGCGCAACCAATGGGCGACGGAGAGTGCGAGCAGTCGTCAGAGAGCGAGAGAGCGAGAGAGCGTTCGCCGGAAAGCTCGACCGGAAGTCTGCGCTCTGATTGGACGTTGAGTTCGCTCGACGTTGAGTTCGCTCGCCGTCTGCCAGCTCTCAGACGCGTCTCTCGCGCTCCGCAGATGTCTTTCGTTCGCTCGCGAGACAAGAATACAAAGAGAAATCTAAGAGAAATCTTACGTTTCTTTTTGGACGACGTTTGCGACGCTTGTTGTCCGCCGAGAGACGCCGTCGTCATGAGCGTCGCGCGACTGTCGCCGTACGCGTCGTCCTGAGTCGTGATGAGCGCGTGAGTGCCGCCCAAGAGGTCGAAGGAGTTGTGGAAGTGTTCGCCGTGACTGTCGTTCATCGCGTCGTCACTTAAGACAAGACATCACTCGAGAGACGACACAAGAGACGACACAATGTGTAAAAAGCGAAGACTTTTTCTCTCAAAAAGTGTTTCGAAATGTTTTGCAAACAATAATCGAAACGAAAGACAACTAAAAGTCGATTCAAAGAGTGATCCGAACGCAAAACAATCGCTCTCTGCTGTGAAGTGAGCGCTGATTGGTTGCTGTGATGTCATATCCGTTGACGGAGTGTCTAATTAGACACTACCTGCACAACAATCACCTCTCGCTCGCTCTCCACCTGTTCTCTCGCAGTAGCGCTCATTCCGTTATTATTGACTTCCTTTGGCCTCAGGCTCTCAACGAGACAACAATCAAAAGGAGGATTCGCTTCAATTCACAAAACAAAGACTTTATTCATTGCGAGCGCGAGAAGGGCTTCGCTCGAGAGTTGAAGTCTCGAAACTTTCGCGCAATACTAGTGCTGTCGTCCCAAAAGTGTCGCTCAAGTGTCGTCCCACTCATCGTCCTGTCGTCCGTCGTCTTCAGCGCCACAGACGTAGGCCTCCACTGCTGCTCGTCGTCTCTGCCGTCGTCCGTCTGTCGTCCAGCCGTCGCCTCGACGACCCATTCGTCGCTCAGTTGCTGTCGTTTTGCGAACAAAACGTTTCCTTTGTTTGGATTCACTTTTAATTGACAAAAATTGACAAAAAAACTCATCCCTTGAGAGCCAATCAGAGCTTACCTTCCGGTGACGTCAGGTCCGCAACAATGCCTTCGCAGAAATCTCGCGTTCGCTTCTCTTCTCTCATTATTTCCGTTTCGTTCGATTCGAAAGACAATGAATTCAAGTCCTGAGAGACGACACAAAAGACGATACAAAAGACGACATTCAGTGCAACATCTCTTAGTTGCCAATTACCTGCACGTGGCGCGGGTCCAACAGGAGGCGCAGATTGGGCGGCCCTGGGAGGGGAGGGGTGGGCGGGGAGAGCGGTCTGTCAGTGCTTTTGTCCCTTTTTTGAGTCGCTTTCCGTAAATACCGTCAGATATGGTGTTTGAGTGGTCGTCGTTCGCGTCGCCGCCGGTGTCGTCCTCGCCGTCGTCTGTCGTCGCAGTCGTCACCCATTTGTACGACTTTTCCACTCTTTGTTTATACATTTCTCGGCCTTTATATAGAAATAGTCAAAAGTCACGTGATTTGAGTGCAAATAATTGTCTCTTTTGCGACAAACCCTTGGATTTGGCGTTCGTTTCGTCGCAAACCAATTGCTTCGCTATTTCTCGACTCAAAAACACCTGAAAAGAGAGAGTGAGAGGACAGGCGCCACACCCCATGCCTTCCCACCTGGTCTTCGATCGTCGGATGCGCCGTCGGGTCGAAGAAAGCGGACGAACTGAACGCCACTTTCGGGGATTTGAGTTCAGAGCAAACGGAAGACATGTTTGTTGTTTGTGTCGTCCGTTCCGTCGTTTGCGTCGTTTCTGTCGTCTATTTATTTAAAGAAATCCAAAAATAGAGCACAAATTCTGGGAGTAAACGCACGCGCGTCCAACACGTGCGGCCGCGCGCCCGACTCACCCCTCGGGCGGCGTTTTGGCGCAGAAATCGCGTCCAAAACTCTTCGCTTCTCATATCCGATAATTGGTCCAAAAATTCATTCATTTTTCCGATTCTTTTAAATAAACAAAAGTTTCAAAAATAGAATTCTTTGCGATTCTTGAGACGACAGACACGACGACAGTGTCGTCCTCTCGCGTGACAGCAAT